CCCGCAGATTGCGAGTCGAGTGCCTTAACCACCTGGCCATGCCGGGCCTAAGATATTTAGGATAAACAATTATAATATTCTGTTACAAATTGCAGTCACTCTAGAAAGAAAAACGGGTAATGTAGATTTATCTCTTCTTTTTTTTTATCGTGGCTACAAGGTCAGTCAAATTGACTGAATGTGTATAGAATTAGAGTAGAGGAAATAGCAGATGAAATATAAAGTCTCACTGAAAAAATTTGATATTTATTTTAGAGGTTTTAAGAGATTATGCAAATAAAATTTTATAATTTTCACACAAAGTATTTTTAATCTTAATGTGAAAACCACTTTGCACTCAGAGTAGTCAACATTCTAATTCCATATATTTACAAACACAATTTAATAAAAAGTAGTTAATTAAAAAAAAACAGCTGATTTTTTGTGTGCAAAAGATTTGTAAAGTTTACTGAAAGCTTGCCAAATTTCATGAAGGTACATAAAGTGTATTAAAGGTCATAGTATGGAAACTCTGATGGTAACTTTGGGGTTAAAAGGTCAGTTACATCGACCAGTTCATAGTGAGAGGGTTAATATTTTTGGCCATGTTCCAATAAATATCTGACAAGTAGTAGATTTAGGTATTAATAAAGTCTAAAATGCACATAACAAATGCGGAATAAGGTTCCTAAGTGAAATATCAATTCAAAACCTTATTCCAACTTTATTTTAATCATTATAACTAAGAATTTAGTAAACTAACAATACATAAAAATGAAAAAGGGAGAAGACATGTATAGTTTATTAGCTGTCACATCAAAAACTTTAAAGTTAAGCCTTATATATAAACATTAACAAGAAATGAGCAGTGTTTTTATGTATGTAATTACTTCACCCTTACAGCTTTTGGTTTCTTGATCACAACTATGAAGGATTACCCAGACCCAGCAGGAAAGAGCATTTAACATTCTCAGTCTTCTTGATAGTTTGATAAATTCTTGGCATGATACTTTTTAATCTTCTTCCTTAAAGTGCTATATACATAGTGTACTAAAATAAGAGTTATTAAGTAACATGATAAGAAAACAAACACTTACTTGATCCATAATAAGGAATTATAGTACTCATCATCAATAGACTCTATGTCCTTCATTGTCAGCTGCTTTCCTAACATGCGTTTGTAGAAAGGTAGGGTGAACCCACTATATATGAACTTGCCATGAAAGAGAGCCTACAAGAGAAATATTAACACAGAAATTACAAAAATGCCCAACCACAGAAAGTACAATTGTTTTGTTGTTAGACTCAACCATAAACATGAGCCCAGAAATAGAAACTACAACTATATTAGTGATACAAGTTTTGTTTTGTTAATATACACTTAATTGCAAATAAAAAGCTAGAAGCAGAAACTCAAAATTTTGTTTAACACATGCTCAATTAAAAGCAAGAGCCAAAAACACAGTTTACAATTGTTTTTTTGATATACTGACCAACATATCCATCCTACTCACCATTGCAACAAATCGACCAATAAACTGGAAGTAGGATATATGGTCGGGATTGACTGAGGATGCTGGGTTGATTTGCAGACTGTAGTTATTCTTCCCAGCATATTCAAATAAACAGTACATTGGATTAAGTACCTCGTGGGACAGTGTGAAGAACCATTCTCTGAAATGTAGAGTATTTCATTCAGAAGTTATAAGTAGAAAAAGGAGAGTTAGCTCTGGCTAGCTATTAATAAACAGTACATTGGATTAAGTACCTCGTGGGAAAGTGTGAAGAACCATTCTCTGAAATGTAGAGTATTTCATTCAGAAGTTATAAGTAGAAAAAGGAGAGTTAGCTCTGGCTAGCTATTAATAAACAGTACATTGGATTAAGTACCTCGTGGGACAGTGTGAAGAACCATTCTCTGAAATGTAGAGTATTTCATTCAGAAGTTATAAGTAGAAAAAGGAGAGTTAGCTCTGGCTAGCTATTAATTTTTCAAACATATGTTTGGTATTAAGATTAAAAAAAATACTTTTCATTTTATAGTTGACAATTCAAAAAGTTGCCAGTAAATCATAACACCAGTCTTTAATCATGCATGGTAAAATTTATTACATCTTCATACCAAACTTATTACCTTTTTTTTTCTAAAGTGGCTTACAAAGAACACTTGCTCAGAACACGGCTCTTTGATAAAATTACATATTTTAATTACTGAACTTGTGTTTTTGAAAGAATATTTCTTTTGTGGAATAAAATAGATTAGAGTTACTGCCTACCTTGTTACTCCTCCATAATCCAAACCTTCTTCTCCTTTAAATGTAATAAAAAGGCGACGTCTAAGTTCATGTGGAGGAACTTTCATTACCTATTCAAATAAAACTGTACATAAAAAACTTATTACTAGAATGCACACTGTTGATTAAGGATATAGCAATTTCTCTTTTAATCCTTAAACCTTTCCTTAATCAACAATATCATCCAAGTTACATATGTTAAATGCATCTTATGAAAGTGGCTGTACGGAAAGTCACAAAATTAATAAAAAACTCAAGGTCTTTGAATTTTTACGAGTCACTATAAATAAAAAATAAGTAAATAAATATTGTGAGAAAAACATGATAAAAACCTGTGTGTAAAAACTACCAGCATAAAATAAAAACACATTTTACCTAAAGAAACAGAATCTGATAGTTGCACATTCAATGGCATATGGACTGAATGGCCAAGTCAGAAGCTCCCAAGTTTCAGATTTAGCCACCCCTGATTTAAAACTGCTGATCAGAGGAACGATAACCGGCCAACAGCATCAGCCATCTATGTGTAACTGAATAGTGAGAACTGAACTCACAGTTATAATACCCCACAACTGAAATTGCAGTGCATGTTCAGCAGCATATCATATCTCAAAGTAATTATACAATGTTCAGAATAAGTAACAGTATTCTTCAGCAGAGTGTTGAGAGGTTAACTGTACTTAGTGTCTCCAACTATTCCACTTTTATGTTGCTTTAATAATAAAAATGTTTTTATTTTAACACACAGTCGCATGGTTAATGAAAAGTAAATGCAGCTGTAAAAAATATTTTTTCAAGACTATCTTTGGGAAAGGATCTCAACATTGTATGAGACCTGAATAAAAAAAAATATACACATTTTTTTCCAACAATGGCTCTTCATAATATCAACTAGAACTCAAAAACATAAATAGTGTACTCTATCAATGAAGTCTTTATTCAGGAATTTTGAGAAAGAACTTTTTGTAATTACCTGGCTATAAGACTCCTCGAAAATACGATTTCTTGATACAAGGATTTTAACTTGACTGGGTACAGCATTACACTGAAATTACAAAATTCTGTTGTTAAAGTACAATATACATAGTGTAGTGTTTTGTGATCTATGTTACAAGTCCCCTGTTTCTTCCCATATATTATAGCTTTTCTTCTCAGAATGCTTATTCCTAGGACATCTTAGCACACTAGTAAACTTGGATCAAAAATAGATACAGTAATCATTTTAATTACGTAAAGCGAAAAATCAAGTATTAAGAAATACAAAATTAATAAAAAACTTGAAATATTAAGCCTTATACACTCAAATAACATGTAATGCCAGGTTTGAGTTGATATGTGGGTTAAAATATGTTTCAAAGTTATTCCTACAATAAAGAAGCATTTAATAACCTATTTTGAGAGTAAGCACCATGTAAGTGAAATAGACAGAAATAGCTGTCCCTAGTTTTGAAGTGACAGACTACAGAGAAGGCAGTTAGTCAACAACACCCACCACCAACTCTTTGGCTATTCTTTACCAACAATTAGTGGATTTACCATCACATTATAATGCCATCATGGCTGAAAGGGTAAGCATGTTCAGAAATGCGCTTCAATCCTGAGACCAGAAGATTGTGAGTAAAACATCTTAACCACTAGGCCATGTCTCGTGGAATTTTTAAGATTACAGAAACACACACACATACAGGTTGTACATCCTGGATCTTAAGTCAAAGATTACAGACAGTACTTCAGACCTAACTAATGTCAGCCAACAGAAGAAAAATTATTTGAGACTTTCTTTGCCCAATGCAGCATAATAAAATGGCAAAGAAAAAACAAACAATTATAGGTTATTGGATTTTTAAAGGAATCCTTAAAAACTGAAGTTTCTAAATTAAGGTTAAAAAAGTGATGTTCACTAAAATATATAGATTAAATCTGATATTTTTGATATCCAGGTTTTCATTCTTCAGAATTAAAAGAAAGAATATAGTGTCACTAGTTACTTGGTAACAATGCATTTCACATGCAAGTGATATCAGTCTATTCTAGATTCTTTGAAAGTCATCCCCCCCCCCTCCACGGCTAAACAAAAAGAAGATCTTTCAAATGTAACATGCAAAAAAGAATATGCTGATAACTGGAAAAATACAACCTCAGATGTAAATAAATTAAGATTAAAAAGTTTCTGAAACATAATTTAACAATTTTGTTAACATAATTCTTAAACTCCACATAAAATTAACCCAAAGAATAAGCTTTTTAATATACTAGATATGAAAGCTAAATTTAAAAAAAAAGTAGATAGAACTTGTATATTTTCTTTAAAGCAAATAAAACTACTAACATGACATAAGTAACGAAACTGGGTTAGTTTCCACTTGAAATTCCTCTTGTAGGCTACTGGTCCAACAGTGGTTCCCCTAGTGACAAAAGTTAATTCAAATAAATAATGTATAGAATAGCTAAAAACTGGACATAAGCAAAAATACATGCACATGCATCAGGGTTTCATCAAAGCTCACTGAACTTAATGAGGATTATCTTTTGTATCCCATATTTAGTGGTTTTATACCATATTGCTAGAATTTCAAAAATAAAATAAAGCCTCATTTATAAGAATGCTACATTTTCATCACCAAAGGACCAAATTCATAGTGTTTTTGTGAATGTTTCTTTCTAAAGCTATTTGAGAAACTAAAACACTATTCCATCAAGACTTTAAACATAAAGAACCAAATAAACTTACTTCAAAACTCCAGAATAGTTTTTTAAGCCATCATTGGTTTATAATATCATACAACAGTCTGATTATAAACTACAGACTTGTATAAATATAAGATAAATAAAAAATTGGGAATTTAAAAACTGGCAAATAGGGATTGTTAGAAAAGTAAGGAAACAAGGCTGGAGATACTGTAGACATTATTTATTCAAACTACAAAACTGTATTTTGGCTCCATGCTGTTACCTACAATTACATTTGGTGGAGCCAAAATAGGAGTTTGTAGTTTGAGTAAATAATGTCTTTAGTGTCTCTAACATTGTTTCCTTACTCTATTTTTTACAATTGCTATTTGCAAATTTTTAAAATCTAAATTTCTTTATTTATCTTGTTTGTTGGCTTTTGTTATACTCAACTATGGGCAAAAATTACTTAAAATGGTATCTAACCTTATACATTGTAATGATAATAAACATAGCTAGTAGCTAACCGATATAGTTCGTGAAGATTTACTGTAGCTATTAACTAATTTATTGGATTAGTTCCAGATGTAAAATGTTAAGCTGCAGCTGGAGATTGTCATGGAGATGTGTTTGAGAATATAGTGAGAATTTATAGTTTCTGTGTAACTAAATTCTCTACATATAATGCAGAGTAATGGGCAAATATATGCCAAGACTAAGACACAACCCCCTACTAAGTACATATAACATTTTAACAGAAGAAAAGCTGCCTTTTCAAATAAAACATATCTATCTAAAACATTGCTTTAAATAAACCATGTCTTTTAAGGTAATTATTATAGAAATGCACGTAATAAAATTTAATATTGTGTGTATTGACTTTTTCCGTACTCCTCTACGTCATACATAATATAGGGGTTGGCTACCTAAAGATACTGATTGTATTATCTAAAAGCATTGAGTACCTACATGTTACAGTCATCTAATGTTCATCTATTATTGGCCGGTAATTATTGTTTCACCCTGTACTTAAGCTTTTTAAAGGAACATCATATATTTATGAGAAAGCTAACTTCAAGGGGTAATGATAACATCATTTACACTAGAATTATGATGTTTTTTAGCTTATGTAAAATACAGAAGAAACTGATTTTTTCAATCCTGTATAACCTTCGTAGTACCTTATTTAGCATTCTACAAAAGGTTTGGGGTGCAATATTTCAAACCGTTTTTATTGTAGGCTGGCATGAGAATTATAATAAAAAGAATTACAAATGGGACATTTTGAGCAGATTTTCTTTTCCTTGTAAGTCTAATATGCATGATTTGTTTTGTGAATTTTTATATGTGAACAGCCTTAGCAGTCAATAGTAAAGGTTTTAGTGCATTGTTTGAGTTGAATCTTCACTGTTTAAGGTGCTTTTTCCTTGAACATTCTATTAGGATTTTGGGCAATTCCACTATTGTGGTTCATGATATATTTTTACTTCCAGTAATCTTTTAGAATAGTTTGCAAACTTGACCAAATTAGCTTGTCTTTGGAAATAACACACCCAAAAGTTTCATAAAAAACATGTTCCTAAAAAATGTTTTTTTAATTAGGACTTACTCTCCACTGTTAGATGATGCCCTTGGATCTTGAAAGGTAGTGGTACGAGTATTATGGTCAATAAAGTATTTCTTTCCATCAGGTGAAAATTTAACTTCCCAACCTGGAGGTAGAGGTTCTTCTAGGCTAAAAACATGCAGAGTATTTTACTATGAGAAAGAAGAGCATTTATCGACAAGTAAATATAGATGAAAATTGGAACTAACAGTGAAATAAACACATTTCTGTAATATGTTGGAAAAATGCTATAACATGATATAGGAAACGATATTATTTTCATTAAAAAGTGAAATTGGAAAGTATAAATACTGACAAAAATCTAGAGTGAACCAAAACAAGTTCTTGAAGGTATTTTTTAATATGGTTCAGAGTAAACCAACATTAAGACCAATGAAGTGTCATGAATAAAAATCTTCAATGAAAGCCTTACAAGTACAAAAAGATAATTTTTGTTAATTTTACCAAAGTTTCATGAGTGACTAAATGCTTGAATGAGTTTAAAATGTTTATTCATTCATTCATTTTGTTTATGGCAGAGCTACTAAAGCTATCTAATGTCATCCTTGATTTTGAACTGCTGACCACTGCTAACTCTTCAGCTAGTCTTCTAACAATGAATAGTGGAATTGACTGTAACATTTTAAAACCCCCATGGCTGCAAAGGTGAGCATGGTTTGATCCACCCACATATTACTAGTAGAGTGTGTCCTAACCACCAAGTTAGAAATATCCAACCTTCAAGATGTCATAACTAAACTCTCATCTTTTTATATATGAAAGAGTGAAAGTATTAGAGAATTGTATAAACTAAAAACATTTACAAGTCTCGAAACCACATGAAGATCAACAATGTCATCATTTTTTTTATTACACATAAAAAAATAAAATGTGGAAGTGTTACTAAACTGTTAAGTTTTACTTTAAATAAAACTTTTACAAGTACAGTAGAACTTCGACATTAAGGGCACCCTTCCAACTGCATCCAAATGCCCTCTATAGCAAGGTGCCCTTAATATCAAAAGTGAGCCATGCAAAGCTGGATTCCATATTGAATGTATTAAATTTCTTAATTTTAAGCCCCCCCCCCCCCCCCATTTTGTTTGATGTATACATTTAAAGTCATTTTTCTTACATGTTGGTATCTGTTGCAGTTTTCAATTTTGCTAGGACAACCCAAAAAACCATTTTCTGTAGGTTGAGGGGTTGCAGGATCGAGGTGCAATTAGGAGGGAAGAACAGGACACGGGTGTTCATGAGTTGCATGTTGCCATGACATGGAGTGTTTTCCACAGAAAGAAGAACATTCCTGCTTTGCAAATACATCTTCCATGCCTTTTTATTCCATCTGTAGCTTACAGGGAGGGAGGTTTTCTTAATGTTATGAAAGCAATAGGGATTTTTTGTGATGACCAATGGCTTTTCAATCTCTCCCACTGAGATCTTTACTTTTTTTTTGCCTTCAGCCCACTGATCACCACATGCACCAAGTGATCAATCAAGCAACGTGCAATAAAACAGGCCAGTTTTATCCATGTTGAAAATGTCTTTTTCCTGGGAACCTTCAATCAAAAATGGAAAACACTGGTGCCATTTGTTGACCGTGTCCAAGTTCATGCTCGATTTCTGTCCCGAAAGAACTGCCGCACTGATTAGTTGCCTGTTTTTAAAGTTACTGAACTAAGCATTCGATGCTTTGAATTCAGCTACACCAAGATCTGCTGCAAAAATACTTTGAAAAACAAAGATTTTGAGTACTTACACTGCTATGAGTAATAGTAAAGTAATTTAATAAAATTGTGAAAATAACTAAAAGGTCATGACATGCACACTTTAACCATCTTGCAGTGAAAGGGTTAATTGCACACTTTATTAAGTGCCTGTATAGAGAATGATACTAAAGACACTGTCCTTAATCTGGAATATTAAGGTGCCTATTACTGCAAGACTTATTTTGGTTACAAATAGTATAAAAAAGAAAGAGACTGAAAAGGTCTACCCTTAATGGCATGGTACCTGTTGTTTTTAAGTGCTCGTTAATTGAGGTTCTACTGTACCAATAATATCATCATTCTTTATATACATAAAAATAGTGAGTGTTTTAAAATTGTTGAGTTTGACTTAAATAAAAACATCTATAAATCTTAACATCAAGAGTATGCCTATAATGAGATCCTACTCAAAAATAAGTGTAACAAGAAACCAAAATAATGCTTTTTAATATCAACATAAAGTTCATGTAACCTACCCTTGTGTCCTGGGGTCTTCCCACTGGGTTATCTTGTTTTTGTGATTTACAAAATACACCCTACCATTACGATCCAATTGTTTTTCTGCAAGTGATAAAAGTACAATATAACATTCATGAAAGTATACTCATTAGCTGAAACTAATCTAAGCTAAGACAAGTCAAACATACTATGGAATATAAACACACACAAACATATAACCCTTCAGGTCTCATCTTATAGTTAAACTTATTTCACATACTATATGATAACTGTCTCTCTAGATCTTCATTTCCACAATTGTCCACCAGCAGTTTACCGGTTGATTTATTTTCTAGATACTTTTACTATTATGACTCAAGTTGCTTTAACTCTTCTTTAAAAACACAATAAATGACACAGATACCACACATTGAACTTCTCTTTCTTTCTTACTATGTCACTTAATACTTTACTTGAGATAATATAAACATTTCAACTTGAATTGACTAGTTAGCCAAAAAAAAGAAAATTCCTTAGTTTGCTTTTAATCATATAATTAAATAAACAGAAGAAGGAAACAAATAGTTTAAAATCCAATGTAATTGCTTTAATTCATAAAGATTAATGAAAGTTACAAATAGAAAAAGTTACTACAGGAACTACATAACAAATATGAATAAAACTTTTATGGGTTTAGGATATTTGTTTTCAGTTTATAAATTGATCTGGTAAACTTCAAGTATTGTCAATTTCAACACTTCTGTCCTTGCAATGATTTAGAAACAAACATGGTTGAGTTATGATGCACATGAGGTTTTTAATTAAACTATTTATTACATAAACTCTCACCATTCTAAGAGTGTAAAAAATATATCTAAATATTATGGTCAAGAAATATCAAATATATCAAGAACATACCCCATCCTTCTGGCAGTGTTCCAAGAGGGTCCTGATCCTCAGCCTGAGCTGGAGTCTAAGCAGTGTTGTGATAACAGTTTGTAAGCGATGGTGTATAATTATAGACTGAACTCATAGTGTATTTAAGCATTGAAAATAGTTTTTGTTGTTGTTACTGATCATATATTATTAGATTACAATATATTTCATCATTAAATAAAATAAGTATGACAAAGTTATTTTAAAATTGTGACCAAATAAAACTTGATACTTATTTTATTTAATGATGAAATATATTGTAATCTAATAATATACGATCAGTAACAACAACAAAAACTATTTTCAATGCTTAAATACACTATGAGTTCAGTCTATAATTATGATAAATGGACACATTTCAAATTCATACAATAATTCATAGAAGAATGAGACTAACTAAAGTATTCACATTAGCAATTTTATTATCGATATCTAATTCTAGCCTTGAAGTAGTCAGCATGATGCAATTACCATTTTAAAGACACATCAAGTCTTTCATCACTGCAATAAAGATTTTTTTTTAAAATCTTCATGTGTAATACAATTTCAGCATCTCATTTTATGTACAGATTTTTTTATTCTGAAAAGGGGTACCACAGAAATGAATACTGATACGGAACTGGAAAATGTGAAAGATCTACAAAGCTGTAGGTCTTACAAGAAATGAGTATCAAAACCGAAACAGCACTTGCAAGTTAGAAAAGTGTTGCAAACCTTTACACAAGTTTGTGTGTGTAGGTTTTTATGGAAAGAATTTGACAAAATAAGATAAAAGTGAAACACATTTATCAGGATAAAAATACATACTTGAAATCCTGTGAATGCACAAAACAGTAATAGAGAATTCTAAATGTAAAGGGTGATTATAAAGTTCATTTGGGGACTTTGAATAGTTCATAGGTTAAACCATGTAATATACAAACAAAATACTTAGATATATACATTAGAAATCATGGAAAGTGTATTCTACCACTTTTTGTAAATGCCACAAGGGGCACTGCACATGGCTATAGAAACAAAAGAAAGAATGTCCCACCATTATTCAGTCACAAGCAGTGAAAGTTCCAACAAAAGGTTAAGTTTAGAACAACAGATAATACTGATAGTGTTGTGTCATTAAAAAAGCTGCAATACTGAGTCATTCCAAGTTCTGGCCAGCAGCATATTAGTTAGAATGATCCAAGGAGCAGGAGACATATAACAGACGAAATTCTTATGAGATGTTGGACAACCGTGTCATAACAGAACTCCAACAGTGTGGATCTGTCAAGGGTGTCACACTCATGTAAAACTGTGTTTCACTCCATGTCCAGTGCTCAGCAAAGACACTGTTCTCACAGAACTTTAACAAAGACCAGATTCTCAGCTATTGCTTGCAATATGTGCCCATTACACTTCCCTGACTTCACTCCTGCAGGTATATCATCATAACCCAGTAACCATGTCACATCTGAAAGATGATGAAATTGCAAGAAAGGTTCAGGTGTTTGTTTTAGCAGAACACCACAAAATGGGTTATCTGTGCTCTGTCCACCAATGGGAATTGAACACTGGATTTTTGTGTTGTAAATCCATAAGTTCCCCGCTTACCTACCAGAGGACTGATTCAGATGATTCCTAAGGATACATTATATGTTTCAATATCTACTACCATTGTCATGATGGAAGTCGTAACTAAAAATGATGGGGAAAATATTGAATATTTACTAGAGTGGCATCCATAGTATCATTCCAGATTCCAATAGAATTCACTATTCATGATTCCTTATTTATTACATGCAAAAAATTTTGCCCATGGGTTACACAGTTTTCTTTACCCATACTCACTTTATACACACCCTGTATACCTGCAAGTTTTAATGATAATAATAAAATCACTCAATTAAATACTAGTTACAATAATAATTTAAAATTATGAATCTGTAACGGTTTTTTTTTTAAAGAAAAACAATTCTATAGAAATGAAAATGTGAAATTATAGAATGCCACACATCAATAAAGATGCAATAAATGCAAATATTTTCTTCTAAATGGACAAATTTATACATTAATAATGAATTCAAGGAAAAGGGCACATAACTGCAAAACAGGCTAGACTTACTGGGAAAAGGTATCGTTGCTGACACTGCTGCATAACTTGGGCCTGACTAGACTGCCATTGTTCATAGTTCCTGACGGTCTCTGCTGTGGGCCGTTGCCACGTGGTAGTCCGAGTATTGTGGTCTACATAGTACACTCTTCCTCTGTTGTCTCTCCTGATTTCCCAGCTACAGAAAAAAGAAATATTAACTCAACAAGAGTCAAGCTTCAACATATTGTAATTCTTGTGTATAAATTAAAAATTATTTAAGTATAGTATATTCACTGTATTAAACAAAGAATGATGATAATTAAACTTAAGATATTATGACTAGCTTTAATGTTGTTTTTAGGATATCCTCTATATGAAATAGATATGTAAAGGGTGTCACACATTTTCATACCTAACAGATTTCACGTAAAGATGAATAAAAACATGATAAACTAAATGTTATTGTATATAACCTCAGGTTTTTACCACTTCCATGCAACTTACATCAACCTTGATATTAGGGCTCTCCAAATCAAAAACATTTTTTTCGAATCTAATCATCCCAAAATATTCGAATCAAATATGGAATTGAATTGGCTGTGTATATATAGATTATAAAGTATACAGCCAAATTAGATTTTAAATCAAATAGAAACTTGTTTACTTATGTAGGGTGCTTCGACACACAGTTAGTAGTGAGTATAAAAGTAAATCTTTCTGAGAACAAAAGACAAAGTAAATCTTTCTAAAAACTAATGATATAATGTACTTAAACATCTGGAAGAAGAATGGTACAAAAGTGTTCTTATAATTAAACAAGTTCTGGTATATAGACTTAATTAAAAACTAAATTCTAAAGTTTACTGGAAGTGATGTAGGTTCGGAAATATCAATTCGGAGCCCTAGCTAATGAATCAAATCCCCAATCCCAATTCACAATCAAATTAAATCTTGAAGCTTCACAAGGCCCTACTCAGTATATTTCTATAAGTACCTTTGCCATTCATAACACACACTGAAGATTAAGTATTCTGTATTAACCGTTTCCCAGATCGGAGAATAGGAAATGTAGCCAGTGTGGTGTGCAAATTGTACACTGGATTGCATCTCAGCCAAAACTCCAGCAGTTGTAGGTGCAGAGATTATGGTGCCAACAAAAGTCATATATATATGGTATATTTTTGCTAACTATTCCACACAGATGGAATGTTGTCTCATCAGATATGATAATGTAATTGGGAAATATACCACCACAATCTCTTCCAGTCAATAAACATAACATTCACCATGCATCAATTCTTGTATTATTATTATTATTATTACTAATAACAGCTTCAATCTCTTAATAACAGATCATTTTCTAAAAAATAAAAAAATAACATTAATAAGCCTCCCTTCATCAGTAACCACCATTCATCAAATCTTATTTATTCATAAGAATCAATACTTTCTTCCAAAATTAGTAAAGGATTGCAACCTTGCACTTTCTGCCAATGTCAGTTTATTTTCTAGACTTTGGAATTTTTGATCAAGAGGTAATAAACTTTTAAGAATGTTGAAGTAGTGTTTATAAACTATTTTTGTCCAGAAATGGTTTCACTGGAGAGAAAAATTCTGTGACATTGCAATAAAGTCCTTCTTTACTGATTTTCTGTGTACTAGACTTTCAAAACTAGTTTTTATTGTAGTTACTGGAAGAAATTTCGTGCATTGTGTTCAGTGTGGGTTAAAAACGTTTGCTTACAGATTTATTACATATTAGCCTTACATAAAACATTCTATTCTATGGCCAGTTTCACTGATATAGAAGGCAATACAGTTGGAGAAGGTACACTTAACAGATATACTTCATTATAATTTTGACAATTCAAAATTTGATGGATATGAATTCTATCACCTATCGTAGGTTATTCAGAGTTCTTAGTATTTTCAAAAATTTGTAAGTAACAAAAAAAAACTCATAAGGAGTTTCTAAAAAAGGACTGAAATATCACATTCACATGGAGAAAAACTCAGGAATACAAAAAAAAGAGAACAATAAATCAAAGTTCTGTATTTTTGAACGACTAAAAAATTAAATGATGTCAACTCTTTAAAGTTACCTCTTATCTTTAAAAATGATCTATAAAATATCAAATGCACAAATCAGAAAGCAAAATAACTCCAAAAGAGAAAATAAGTAACATTTATTTTGTCAAATCTGGAAAAAAATATTATATTTGTTACCAATCAGTAAGTACCTTGGTGTAAAGGAAAGGTTTAGTTACTGATATAAGTAAAAAAAATAAAATGTTCAGGATTATTGGAAGACAACACAAGGTGTTGAGAGAACTAAAAGATCATTTTTCAGATGGTTCTGCTATGATTAGTGTCTGGTGAAAAGCAGATATTTCCTTTGCAACATCTCAACCAACAATTGGTCCAGTCATCAACGCTATTTTCAAGTTTTGAACAACTCGACTTTCAAGATCTACGTATCTACATGTGCCGATGTTTTCGTTTATCAACGTTATATTTTAAGATCTGTGCAAGAACTCAGCTAACAGATGTTTCTGCATATAAAAGCTATCTTAAACTTGTTTTGGAACAGATTAAATCTTACTGTACAAGCCCATGTACAAAAACATTTAACAGAACAATGTAATTTCTAGATAAATACCATGTATGAAGTAACAACTATTAATGGAAGATAAGCCAGGATAAAGGATCCAAAAACATGAGATAATTATTATAACCTTTTGATACTGCAAACAAAAAGTTACCCAAACAATGAAAATCTTTCTAGCATATCAAAACAGAAAAACTTCTGTAACAGATAACGTTACATATATTGCATGTTATTGTAATATAAAAACCTGCCTTACTTCTGCAAAAGAGGTAATTGTACATATACAGAATATTAATACAATGTAAAAACTTATCTTGCTTCTGTAAAAGAGGTAACGTTACATATATTCAATGTTACTGTAATACAAAAGCCTACTTCTGTAAAAGAAATGACATTAGATATATAGAATGTTATTGTAATACAAAAACCTACCCAGAAGGTAATGGCTGAGGTCTTTCCCATGTGGTACTTCTCGTGTTATGATCTACATAGTACTTGCGGCCCTGTGGTGTGTGACGTACCTCCCATCTTGAAGTTAAAACAAAGAAAATCATATGTATCTCAATTATCAATAAAAAATAAAATAATCATACAAATATATAGCTAGTTTCTTTAAAATTACTGTATAGGAAACTTTCATCTGAGTATAAGATGACAAAAAGTATCTTCATTACTTTAAGAACTTTAATTTGTTGTTAAAAAAAAGGTGTGTGCATGAAAGTCAGATTGAGGAATTTATCTTAAATCAAAAATATATTATTTTAAAAATATCCAATACAAATTTGGCTGGACAAATTATAATTGTCATTTTAAAGGTTCTGTTCAGATTGACCATTTAGAAAAAAGTATTATCAGTACAACATAAATGTGTACTGAAAAATCATAATAACACCAAAACTAAAAAACATATGCACAGACATTTTTTTTTATTTATAAGTATCAATTAAACTGACACAAATATGAGTCTAATTAAAGCTTAATACAAAACTCACCCTTGAGGAAGAGGATCCTCTTCACTTGAGCTAACACCTTGCCTAAAAGGATTTTGTAGCCTGCTAGATGAAGTTCTATTCTGATTAGCATTGTCTGTAACACAAGACGGACTAGAAGTAAGGCCTTGACCAAGGACAGAACTGTAGGGTTTAGGATGTCTGCCAACCAATTCCCCTCCCTGAGTGGAAGTATCTGTAGAGCGAGACAAATCTTGACCAACAATAGCACTGTTAGGCCTTGTAATTCGCTCACCTGAGGATCCACTCTGCAAAGTACTGCTTGTGCCACATGACGGAATGTTAATGGCAGAGATATCTGGATTGGCATTAAACTGTACAGGACTCGAGAATGGAGAACTGTTAGCATCCAGTACATTGTTTGGTGTGGCAGATCTGGTTGCAGGTGTGCTGCTACTAGCATCATTTGACCTTGTAAAAGTGAGCTGAGGACGAGGAATTGTCACAGATCTGATATCTGGTAAATAAAGCTTTATAATGTCATTAAATTATAAAAATCTAAAGAAACAAATGAATTTTTAAAGAATCTAAATCTCCTAAGCTGACTGAAACAAGTGAGATATTATTGAGATAATGCCCAAAAAATATTGTTAACAGTGAGGGTACTCAACTAATGAATCAATGCATTGTAATAAATCTAAGTTTTTGATTTACAACACTATATACTGCTATTAGTTAGACCATATATTATATTAGCTACACCATTTTTTAGTTCTAATTTACATAGATAACATACTTTGACTTAGAAATTACTGACAGATAATTGTAACAAAAACAAAATTCAGCATAGAATTAGCAGTTACTGTGTTTTACATGGCACCCTATAGAACACCATGTGTCATCATTATTATCTCATGCTACGTTAAATCAAGGAGATAAAAAATTGTTGGTGTGTGCCATGCTATGTTAAATTAAGGAGGTAAAAAAAAAACTAAGTTTGTACCAAGGCAGCTTTGTTAACCACATCTGAGTGAGGCAAAAAAAAAGGATGATAAATTATTGGTTTTTAATACAGTATCTTGTTTTATACTTATAATTTTACTCGAAATGCAGAAAAAAGCTGCAAAAGTTTATTTTGATTCCAAAATGGGTGTGCACTGAATAAAATATCAATTCTTTCCATTCTGTTAAGTCTCTATAGTATTGTTTATATATGTTTTGGGGCTCGGCTCATGCTCATACAGCCAAGCCACTTGAAAACTCCTGGCTTGTCATCTGTAATAAAAAGCTTACTAGTTGATCAATCTGAAAAATGAAAAATAACCAAAAATTTTAAGCCTAACTAACTGTTACTTCATAAATCTCAACCTCACATTTATAAAACATATAAAGCTAGTTCTTTCACTCTTGCAGACTTAGAAATTATATTAATATACCCTAAAACCTAACACAAGTTATAAAAATCCAAAGTCTTCAGAGTAATGGGAGAAGGAATTCCCTTTCTACCCAAGATCTAAGGAATAAAGATATGGGAGTGGGAACCACAAAAATGATAGTGCAGGCCAAATAACAGTGAAACACATGGATGGGATAGAGAAGATGATCAAGATCAGAAAGAGGATAAAGGTGAGTAATGGAAGGAAGGAATATAGGGGTGAATGCACCATCCCCCTCATGAGCCACAAATGTTTTTGAGAGAAAAGCACTATCAGGATAAAGAAGAATATAAGAATGATGGAAAAGAACATGTGAAGCAAGGTCAAATGCAAGGAGTAAGAAATAGGTTTTAAACAAAAGATGGTACAACAAACAAGAGGCCAGAGAGAGGAAGGGTAAGGGTGTGGAGAACAACATTTAGGTTCCAATCAGGAAGAACAGCAGGATGTGGAAGATGAAAAAGATGAAAAGAAAGAAAGAACAGGAAAGGAGAATAGAACAGGAAAATCGGAGAACATAAAATAGTACCACTCTATAGCCAGCAATGGTTGAAAGCAATAAGCCTTGATTGAACAGCCAAGTGAAAAACTCAGAAAGATAGGAGCCAAAAGGCTGGGAAGGGAAGAAGCCACAACACAGACACCAGCAGCAGAAAATGCACCATTTTCATTGATACACAAGGTGGGAGGAAGAACAAACAGAACAAGAAAAAGGGATGATACATTTGAAAAAAATCCAGAGCATCTCATAAGGGACTGGACAAAACCCATGCACAAAGACAGAGTGTCGACACTACCAAATGTGAGAAGGTAGAACATGGTTGATGGAGTAGGGATTGCAACAGAGGTAGAGGAAGAGGAGATGACCAAAGAAATTTCAATACAGAAAACCATGGCTGAGTCAGCCAATAAGGAGCAATCAGGAGGACTCAACATGGAGTAGTCTGAATAAGAGAAAGCACATGAAGGATATGAATAGGAGGATAGGCATAAAGAAAAATGATGGACTAGTCATGACTGAATGCATCCACAGTTAAAGCTGCATGATGAGGAACAGGGAATCAGAACAGGGGAAGTTTGGGGTTGAGATAAGTGGCAAAAACATCCAGAAAAGTAATGCCCAGCCAAGAGCACAACCACTTAAGTACCAGAGGATTGAAGAGCCACTTCATAGGTACTATCTTGTCAGGTTGTGAGAGAAAACCTGCAGCAAGATTCATAACACCCAGGATATGACAAGCAATAAAACATATTTGCAAACAATGAGCCCAGAAAAGGTTTAGAGTGTGAAAACAGAGAGGGAGACTGGGTGCTCCCTTCATGATTGATGTAAAAGACAACAGGAGAGTTTTCAGTATGGATCATTATTGGATGTTGGTGGACTATCAAAAGCAAATGATCCAAAGCTTGAAATACCACCAACAGTTACAAGAGATTGATATGAATGGTTTATTTGTTGTTTCATCATTGATCTGGAATCTCATGAGAGAATAAATATGCCCCCATTCCATTAGTGATGCATCTGTAAACATATGAAGATCTGGATGAGATGGAAGAAGAGGAATACCTGCTGTAGTATTGACTTTGTTGGGCCACCAGACAAAGTTGATCTGTAGGAAAGAAGGAAGGTAAATGAAGTAAGACAAGGACACCAAGCAAGGTTCCACTGATTGCACAGAGTCCATTGAAAATGGTGCATATGAGGACAACCCAAATGGATAAGGGATTCCATTGAAGCCCAAGTCCCTAAGAGGGAGAGAACCTCCCACACAGTGAGGGTAGAATAGAATATGGTATTGGAAACCAAGCACTCCATGCCCCCCAAATGAAGAGGAGAAGGCTGAGTCCTGCTGAGATGTGAATTGAAAAATATACCCAAGTGAATGAGATACTGAGTGGATGTTATATACGACTTCTCCAGTCTGACAAACCAACCCAGATGTGCTGATTCTTGAAGGAGGAGAATAGTATGGTCATAGGAGACTTGTTGGGATGGAGCCAAAAGGTGAAATCACAGTGCCAGGCCATGAATGTGATGAGGAAAAGCTTTGAAAACCCAACAGAAAACATACAGGACTGAAGGGAAGAGCACAAAAAATTGAAACACCTGACCTTGATGAACAAACCAAAGGAAGCAGAGGTAATGGGAATATGAAGATCTGACATATCAACCTTGAAATTCCATAGACCTAGAGTAAAAGACAATCTAAGGGTGACAAAGGACTCTATGGTAAAACAATGAAATGATTGAAGCTCGAAAAATCAATAACTGGATGCCAATCCGATTTTTTTGGGAACAACAAACAGACAAGAATAAAAACCTGGAGAAGGAAGAGAAACCCATTAAACAGCATCTTCTTCTAACAGATCCAACACCACTTTGGCCAGATGCTGGCAACAAACTGGATCCCAAGGAGGAGGGAAAGAGATGGGAATGGAAGATAAAAGAGGAGAGGAGGAAAAACTAAAACTCAATCTCACTAATAACATACCAAAGGACTCAACAATTGGCAGCAAACAGGTGTCAAAGGTTGGCAAACCAGGCCAACTGTGCCTGAACTGAAGGGATAGTCACCATCAATGCTAATGGCATTGAAGACAATGGTGAGAGTAATGATGGATCAGAGCAGAAACACAGAAAGGTGGAACAGGGAGAAGAGAGGAAGCTGGAGATGAGAAACGGTATCAGGTGCAGGAGAAGCTTGTAATAGGATGAGAAACCAGAAAAGAAATGGAGGAGTGTTGACACACAGCCTCCACATGAGATTCCAATGAATCAGGGACTCCTCCAAAAAGATACTTTCAAAAGAAAGGAGGCAAACAATAGTCCTGGGTATAGCAAGCAGGCAAATACACCCGAAAAAGTAGGGCATCCCTGCCTAATAAGTCCCAACAACAAAGCAACCACATATGGAGAGGTAAAGCAGAAGAAGAAGATAAATGTGTCAATGTAGAAAAGATGAGAGAATGAGTTTCTGTTGAAAATCCCTCAGGTTGATAGCCTCGGAAAGCAGGTGGATAGAAAAGAGATAACATAGTAGAGTAGTAAGAATGAGATGTAGATGGGAGAATTTGACTGGGGAAAGGCAAAGACAAGAGAAAGGATGTTTGAATTAGAGACTACAAAATCTGAGACTTAAGAGAGGGAAACTCAGCCCAATGACAGGCCATGGTATGAGTGTCTGACAAGCAAAGAGGACAAGGTATGCTGGCTCCAGAACAAAGATGAGATAGAAATTGATCAATGTGGACTTAAATATCAGAAAGGGGGGGGGACAAAATAATCAGTAAAAAGAGGTAAGGTATCATAAAGGCCTAGCTTAATCTTGACATATGAATAACATTAATAAACAATGTATTTCTGCAAAAAACAGCACAGCTTCAGTTTGATGAAATCCTCCAACATTTTTCCAACATACTATGGGGAATTCTAACCTAATGTGGGCTAATATGATTCCATTTTAACATACCTTCAATACAGATTTACTCCCATGAATACTTAAGTTATAAAATGACATTAAAAATTCTGGGGAAAACACTGTTAGTTAAATATCCTGTTTAAATCAGCTACAATTCTAAATTGTTTATAATAATAAAGGCAATAGGATGTGTATTCTCATGCAATGTAAGATGCACTTTTAAGAAGTTAAAAAACTTAAAATTTGCCACCGAGTCAACATCACTCACCTGTGATGCTAAAAGCCTTAGGAACAGCAACATGCTTGGGACTTTCTGGTACAGACTGGGTTCTCATATCATGAAGTTGTCTGGAAAGGTTAATAATGCTTGGAGAAGTGCTACCAGAACTGCTACTAGGAGAATCACTGATTACTTGAAAGGGCACAGGACTGGGGTTGTCTGACCTCTGGGAGTGAGGGTGTGGTTCATGATGTTGATAATCACTTTGGTTATTTCCATATGCAGGACTAAAAGATTGAGTACTATTATCTATTACATTTCCACTTGAGTGGGTGCTTGAAGGAGTGTGGGAACCTGTTAATACATGGAACTAAGAGTCACAATTGTCAAGCAAAAATTACAATCAGCATTATGATTAGGCTCTGTCAAACACAAAGAAAACTGGTTTCCTAAAGAACTGTATTTAAATACATTACTTACAAGCGACTAAACTTATAGTTGATGTTATCAATACCATTAAATATAGAGTCAAGTTGAACCATAATTCATATAAAGAATTAAGGTGTGCAAGATATTTTCTCTATCACTAATCACCAACTTATTCCATCAATTTTTCCTTAAAAATCTATGAAATATTTAATATAATCTATAATCTTTTATCTCACTAAATATAACTTACAGTTTGACTCATCAAAATAATGTTTTATTTTCATTGTTGTGATTATAAGGTTTTCCTTAAGTACTTCAACAACTGTGAAACAGCTATAAAATATTTATGTTCACTCAGTGTGTTATGAGTTCCTTTGAGAAAGCTTAACTGGTCAAATTTTAGGAATAAAAATAAAATTCCTAGAGTCAAGAGATTTATTTTCTTCCCTACTCCAAAAGTTTTTATTTGAACATTCAGATACAAAATTGAAAGAATGTTGGTAACAATTTCCTTTGTAATAGTCTGGTCATTTACTCAAACCTACACTTTCTTTCAGTTATAAATATAAAACTTCATTGCTATTCAGTAACGAATCAAAACCTCAGATTTCAAACTATATAACTGAATTTTTCATTTACAATTCTAAAACCCTGAATGCTATACATTTGTGTCACAGCATTAAGAAAAGAATAGAAAAAAATGAATCATGATCCAATTTAACAAATTAACAGAGCAATGTTAATGTTACACATATAATGGCTATTGATTATCCTTAGCATATGTACACAATGTTTATGTGCATGAAACATTCACTTAACTTCTACATAAATACATATACATGCAAAGCTTAAGATATTCTTCAGCTGATGTATGCAACAAACCAACAACAAAATAATTTGAATGATTGCAATGAAGTTGCAAACAAGACTAAAATACTTCTAACAGAGGGTCATCCTGTGTAAAGAATAAAAATACACAAATCCTTTTTTTTCCCCCACTGTAAATTGCAAAATCTTCATCTTTACTTCCTATACCAGAAATGAAAATCTGTACTTTTTGAAAAACATTCAACTATAAATAACAAAGATCACTGAAAGGTAAATAATTGAAAAAAAAAATGATTGTTTTACATAAGCAAATGAATAATTTATGATAATTTGTAAATATGTTACCATAACATTATAGGATAAAAACTTTGCCAGTTAGGTTGTTAACAACGTAACAGATACATATGGTGAGTTATGTAACAATTGAAGCAAAGAAAAATTTTCTTTTGAACAGTTTTGCAAAAATGCTGACCAGGGTACAACCAGTGGTGTAGCAAGGGGCAAGGGGGGCAGTCGCTCCAGGCGCAGGTGTGAAGGGGCGC